TGCCAGTGATCAGCACTCACTGGTGATTGGTAATTACTTCATTGTTGAGTATGAGAAACCTAGTTGTCAGTGTGCCAAATCTACATAGTGTAGCCTATCAGCTTGGCAGGTGCAGAAGTGAGACTCACTGGCTCATAAGCTCCTCTGAGGTGTTCCTATTATACACCAGTCATATTGACAGTCCCACAGGCCTCCTTGTTTTATCTTTGGGGCCTTCAAAATTTCTTGGATGATTGATTGTCTTTCAACAGTCCTTTTACAGATGGGGAAACTAGGACTTGGTAAGTTCACCAGGATCCTCAAGAATTGGTGGTGAAACTAAAATCAACACAATTTAACTCTATATTAGTGCCTGACTCATAAAACCAAAGTTAATGCCATATTGTAACATGTAGAATTAATAATCCCTATTAACTTATTCCTGGGCCTTAGGCTGACAAGTTATTATCCAAGTCAACTTTTTACAAATTTTTGTTTCAACAAAGAAAGCATTTTTAGAAACTATGAAAAGAGGGAGTTATTCATTCAACCTTTGTCCCTCCCTCCTATGCCATTTTGATTTCATCACCTTTGAATTATAATTTTAATTTAACATACATAAGGAAATCCTTGCTAATGATGGCAGGCTCAAAAAACTAGTCACAAATAATTCAATCATGTTAGTTAACTCAATCACTGGAGTTCTGGTCAAGATAGTGGAGTAGGTAAACACTGTGCTTGCCTCCTGTCAACCATCATTGAGAATTGTCTGGTCTAGTAGAACAGAAGTCCTGTAACTATGGACATAGAGAAGAAGCCACCTCGAGATGAGTAGAAGGGATGGAGCCCTGTAACAGGCTGGTCTCATACCTATGTGTGGCAGTTAAAAACTGAGAGGACTATCTCAGTGGCAGAGGTCTTCCCTGAGGAGTGAGGGTTTTCCAGTCCCATGCCAAGGGTTCCAATGCCAGGAAGAGATGCCCCTATAATTTCTAGCTATGAAAACCAATTGAGATTGTGGCTGAGTGAGATGGAGAGTGGCTGGAGTTCCAGGCATTCCTCTTAAAGGGCTTGTGCTTGGGCTTAGTGACAGACTGACTTGCTCTGAGCTACAGCTCTGGAGCAGCAGCGTGAAAGGTGCCACGTGGGGAGGAACTGAATTGTCTGGCTTCAGGGAGAGGGTCGGAGGGGCAGCTTTCTCTCAGATGAAGGTGCTGGCAGAAGCCATTGTTCCTTTGTTGAGCCCTTCTTACTCCCACGGTGTAGATGCAGGTGGCCACCAGATCTGAGTCTCCATCAACCTTGCTAACACTCATCACTCTGCCTTGGTAATCCCCTTAGACCCTGTTCCACCCAACGGATAGGCCCACCCAAGCTGATTCCAGTGACTTTTCCATACAACTGGCCTGTCTTTGTTCATGCTGCAGACTTTTCTAAAATTTCGCAAAGGGTCATGAATTCTAAACAAGCAGCAACTGGCCTTGGTATGCCTCTTACCTCCTGCTAAGCAGCCTCAAGCCTCGCAGTAGCAGCAGCTGGCCTCAATTCACATCTTAGCCTTTCTCAGGCAACTCTGAGCCCAGCACAAGTGGCAACCCACCTACAGATAATTTTGTAGCTCATATCAGGTGACCCCAGGCAGGGCATAGGCAGCAGCTGAACTTCACCTTCAATATAAACTCTCCCAAAAGGACTCAGATCAGACACTCCTGATGGCCATCTTCAGATCACACCAGATCACCGCCCAACCATCTCTACAAACACACACCCAAAGAGCAGACTTGGCAGGCATCAGAGCCCTGCTAAAGTGAATCTTGCTTCATAGTGTCAGCCCCTGCACAACAGCTCCTCTGCTATAGTCATGAACAGTCCTCACAACCAATCATCCTGAGGTCCAATCCCTCCCACTGACGTGCAAACAGCAATTAAGGCTCAATTAGAACAAGAGAGTACATACAATCCGCATGAGGACACACTTGGATTACTGGCTCAGGTGACCAGGGAGAGCGTGCCACTGGGCCCCATTAGATACCTATGACATAAAGCCACTCTACTAAGACCAGGAGACACAGCAGCTCTATTAAACAAACAAACACAGAGAAGCAGCGAAAATAGGGAGACAGAAATGCATGTCCCAAATGGAA